ATATATACACACATATATTATTCGTAAAAATTTTAACTTTTTGCATATTTTAACATTGCCTAATCTTTTGGTTTTTACTAGATTTTTTTGGGCCATGCCTTTATTATGAGACAACCCCAAACTCCCCATAATTAGTACTCTCGTTTTATTTACTAACTGAAAACGCTGTATGCAGTATGTGTTTTGAAGTGTAAAGTAAAATATGAGTGTGATATTGTTTGTGCACATCTGCATCACTCACTCTGACGCCAGTAAGCCCAGGGTCGCCCGGTGGCCCTTCTTTTCCCTTGATTCCCGGGTCACCTCTGACACCCTGCTCGCCCTCTCCGCCCATGTCGCCCTTTTCACCCTGTTCAAAACCAATTTGTTGTTCTTTCAACTATTTTTGTGGTTTAAATAATGTATTTTTGAATACTTGTGAACAATTTATTACCTTGGCACCATCAGGGCCAGCCGGACCAGCCTCTCCCTCTAAACCTGGTTCTCCCTGTATCAAACAAACAAAAACATGATAAAATGAATACTGTTTTTGCGCATTCATACACGTCAAATCAATGTTTCACAGACGTATTGAACACACACCCTTGTTCCGATTAGTCCTGCTGCCCCAGTGTTCCCCGCAGACCCGAGTGACCCCTGCAAAAACAATTAAAAGACATAATAAGAGTCCAAACACACAGGTTGTTTTATTCTTTCTAGCAAGTTCACGTTCGTTTTATTTAATTACATAAGTCCAGTCAGTCAAACAGCAATTATAACCAATGATGTGTGACAGCACATCTGCATCTGCCAAGCTCAGGCTAACATTATCTAACTTTAACAATACAAATATAGTCATATGGTTCCTCTTCAGACTGTGATTGCGACACATGCGCTGTGCTACTCATTACAGAAGCTCAATGGGGCCTTGAACTGCCAACTAAAAGCAGATTTAGCAACAGTTATTTAGTGCAGCATAATAGCACCTCAAGCAAGAAAATTATGGGAAATGGGTTAACACTAATTTCAGGCTCTTTTCATGAATAGGGTACAAAATAGGGCCTACAGCTCTTAAGATGTAGTTTTTTCCCCCAACAAATGGGCAGGAAAAGGAGGAAATTGCTGATTAGCAATCTCCAGAAGTCAAACTAAATGTTATAAGGGCTGTTATTTTCAATTTATTTTATAGTGTTGTATGGAACTTTTCCAAACCTGCTGCTAAAATTCAGAATGTTTGAATGCGGTTTTAAAACCTTTATTAGTTATTTTCCATTCAATTCAATAAACATAAAATAGACAATTTAAAAATAAAAAAACAACCACAAGGTTGCCAAAATAACCATATATAAATAATATACACACTACCAGTCAAACGTTTACAGTAAAAACACAAAAATACAGTAAAAACAGCAATACTGTGAAATAT